CCCAGCCTTCCAATTCCAAGGTCTCTTGCCTTTCACCTTCCAAAAAGGAAAACTACGAGAAAATTTCTCCAAGAAATAGCTGAAATAGTCAATGGTTAAAGGGCCCTTTTCTTATGCAGATTAGAAGTCCAGGTAGGTGTAATAATTTTAAGCAGAACTCAGCACCCGAGCACACTGTAAACTGCGATCTTGGGAAGCCGCGTCTGTCAGGAGCCATTGATTCTGTAACTGCTGTCCTAAGAGAGTCTAGGCTCTGCTGGAACATCGGGAGGCAATGCAATCTCAGGCTCAGGCTCTGCCAGACTCATTTCTTCCTCGATTTCTTCTGTGACCCAGTGATTATCCAAGAGTGCTGTTTAACTCCCATGTGTTTGCATAATTTCTGTGGTTGCTTGTGCTGTTGTTTTTCAGTTTCACTGCACTATGATCTGATAAGATGCGTGATCACACCAATTCTTTTGTATTTACCTAAGCAACCTTTACGGGCTGGAATGTGCTCTGTTCTGGAGAAAGTTCCCTGTGTGCTAAGAAGAATGTGTGTTCTGTGTGGTCGTACAGAACACTCTGTAGATGTATACATTAAGTCTATGCATTTAAAAGTGTGGTTCGGATCTGGTACTTCCGTGCTAATTCTTTTGCATAGCTGATCTATTTGTGCAAGTAGGGGACTCAGGTGCACCGCTTTTGATCAGCTTTGCCTCTTCTGATCAATTTTAGCTTAAAGTCTACTTTGTCTGAAAATAAAGACTACTACCCTTGCTTGCTTTTGAGGTCTTAATGCATAGGATACTGTTTTCCATTTCTTTTTGGACTAGATGTGTCTCTTGTATGCAGCACACCATTTAGTTTTGTTTTTTGATCCAATCTGCCAATTTCTGTCTTTTGATTGGGGAGTGGAGGCCATTTACATTAAGAGTTAGTACTGAAAAGTACTGACTTTTTCCTATGATTGCATTATTTTTCTGTTGTTGATTGTATCATTCCCCTCTTTATTTACTCATCCTGCTTGACATATGCATTCCATCAGACTTTTTTGTATTGTTGGCTTCATTATTTCTGCCTAGAATATCCTTGAGAATTTTTTGGAATGCTAGTTTGGTGTTCATGTATCTCTTAAGGTACTCTTTGTCATGGAATGCCCTTATTTCTCTATCAATTTTGAAAGGTAAGTTTTTCAGAATATATTAATCAGGGTTGAAAACTGTTTCTTTTAAGTCCTGAAACACTTCATTCAATGCTCTTCTGACCTTTAAAGTTTGTATTGAGAAGTCTGCTGTAATTTTTTTTTTTTTTTTTTTTTTTTTTTTTTTGTCTTTTTGAGACAGGGTCTCACTATGCAGTTCAGGCTGGACTTGAGCTCACTTTGTAGCCCAGGCTGGACTTGAACTCACAACGATCCTCCTGCCTCAGCCTCCTGAGTGCTGGGGTTACAGGCATGCACCACCATGCCTGGCCTAGTCTGGTGTAATTCTAATGGGTTTACCCTTATAAGCGATTTTTTTTCTTTTTTTTGCATTTCTCTGATAGCTTTTAAGGTTCTGTCCTAATGTTGGACTTTTGGGACTTTGACAGTGGTGTATCATGAAGAGAATCTTCTCTGGTTCTGATTATGAGAAGTTCCATATGTCTCATTTACCAGTATGTTGAATTCTTTCCCCACACTTGGAAAGTTTTCTGCTATGATATTTGTGAACAGATGTTTTATTCTATGTGTGCTGTTCTGATTTTTTTCCAACTCCTGTTAGTCTTTTTTTTTTTTTTCTTTTCTGTCTTTTTGAGACAGGGTCTCACTATGCAATTCAGGCTGGACTTGAGCTCACTTCTGTAGCCTAGGCTGGTCTCAAACTCACAACGATCCTCCTGCCTCAGCCTCCCAAGTGCTAGGATTACAGGTGTGCACCACTAGGCCCGGCTCACGTCCTGTTAGTCTTAAGTTAGTCTTCTTTGCATCATCTGATGATGATGGATCAATCTTCCTTCCTCTCTTTTTGTTTTTAAGGTTTCTGTGAGTATATGGCCATGTATGTCAGATCTGTACCCTCACCTCACACTGATCACTTCTGTTGCTCATATATTAAACGGAAATTTTTATCTCCACAATTTCTGTTTGGCACATTTTCATGGGCTCTATTTTTTGGAAAGTTTGTAACTTGTGTTTCCAATGATTTTGGTGAGTTTTTATTTTCTATTTTATTTCTTATTAAATGTGTCAATCTGTTTATTTTTTTTTATTTTTTTATTTTTTTGGTTTTTCTCCGGTACCGGGAACCGAACTCACGACCTTGCGCTTGCCAGGCAGGCGCTTTTGCCGCTGAGCTAAATCCCCAGCCCCAATCTGTTTATGAATTCCTCTGTCATTCAGTCATATGATCTTTGATCTCACCAAGTACTCTTGCTTCTTCTTTGATCACTTCATACCACTCAGCCATCTGGTGTTTGATTTCCTCCCCGTCAGTGCCCCTGGGACCTGCTTTGGGGGACTCGGGAATTCTGGTGGCACTTTGCTGTCTTGTTTTCCCTTTTTCTACATATTTTTGGTTTATGTGCTGAGAGTTGAGGTCAAATGGAGTGAAGAGTTTGCTGTTGGTACGACGAGCTCTTTGGATTCTGCTGTCAGTAGTGTTCAGTCTATTCAGCTTCACGTGTCTGGACCCAGCCCGAGACGAGTGAGGCTGTCAGTCGGGACAGCTCTCCGGACCCAACTCCACGGCTTTTCTTTCCAACTGAGCATATGTGGCTTTGGTAAATAAATCAGGAACTGTAGCTCAGTCGAAGCGGTCCATTTTACTTCATACCCGGGCTTTCTGTGCCATCAGAGAACCTGCCCACGTGGAGATCACAGTGCTGGGGGGCTGCTCCCCCCATCTGGCCCGTGCAGATCTGAAGCAAGCTTCCATGTGGTGTGCTGTGGGCTGTGTCCCAGCTCAGACAGCTCCTGCTACAGATCACCTGCCACTGGCTCTCCTCTTCCATGACACACTGTCCGGCAGAGACCGCATCGCTCCCTCACAGGCCTGTTCCCGGGGCACCCTGCCAGTCTGCCGCCCTCTTTCTCCCCGGTGGGATGGGGCCCTCACTACAGCCTGCACCATGCTCTTTCGACTTACAGCTTTCAAAACTGTGCCCTGTATGGACTTCTTTTCTTTATATGGTAATGTCTCAGGCATTTCATTATAGTTTTGAAAAACAGACTAGTCCAGCGTCTGGATCTTAACAGTGTGTTCAAACAACGGACAATCCAGAGACAAATCCTCATGTGTGGGTCAAATGATCCTCAACGGGGAGATCACCCCGTAGGGGAAAGACCAGGGGAAGATACTCAGGGTTCTCCAAGGCCTAGGGATTATAGTGATGCCAGCTATGAAAGGGACTCTGTAGGCTGTGCACAAAAAATCACGGGGCCTAAAAAGAAAGGGGCAGAGGACGTGAAACAGGATGTCAGAAAAGGCAACTGACGGAAGTTACTACCCAGCCGGAGGAATGCTCAGCATTCCCCGCAGTAAGAGGAGTGCAACTGAAAACCACAAGACACTGTGTACCAAATGTAGGGTACACTCACTGAACGCACGGCTGGTGCGGGGTCAAGGGTATGACCATTCTGGGAAGCACCCTGCCATCCCTCTGCAAAGTGTGTGTACCACTGGATCAACCTCAGAACACTCAAGCGAAGACCGGGATGGGCCACATTTAAGGACAGTCGGGGCTACAAGGGGAGGGAGTGGAAGGAAACCAGGACCCTGTGAAGGGGCGGCCCCGGGCTGTGCTGGAGGATCTGCCAGCACCAGGGGCAATGAACTGCGGCCGTGAAGAGCGGCACAGGACAGAGCGAAATGGAGAAATGCGCGGCCTCAGAGTTCACGGTGTTGCTGAGAACGACACACACGTTAACGCCTCCAGATGTCACCGCCGCGGCCCCCGAGCGCACACAGTCACCTAAGTGCAGGTGGAAGGTGGACCAGAAGGACACAGGGGAGTAAGCACACCCCCGCAGGGGCAAGGTGAGCCTCCCTCATGAGTTTCACATCCTGGAACATCTTGGATTCAGGGATTTCAGATCAGGAACGCTCAACTGGTAAAGTTGATGCAAATATTCCGAAGTCCAAAACTCTCCCAAATCCGAAGCACATTTGGCCCCAAGCACCTCAGGTACGGGCTCCACAGCCCGGACCCATGCTCGGAGAGAAGGGCAGGCCATGTAGTTAATTCAGCCCCAACAGGACCCCTCGAGGAAACCAACACAGAAGGCTTGCAAACAATTAAAAGGACGCAAGTGTGAGGCTCTTAGGGCTCGAGTGTAATGATGGTTTTCACCACCGAGGGAGACGTCCTTCCCTCGACCTTGAGATGCAATGCGCACGTGTGCACGTGTCACTCTCAGCACCTTCAACAGCGTCCCACAGCTGCTCGCCCTGGGCACCCTGGGAGGAGCCTGAGGAGGGAGGACTCGATTTTATGTCTTCTGCCATTCGCTCACTTAACTTCATCTTTTCAAAGAGACACTAGTTAAAATACAAAAACCAAGAAGAGCTACCGGAATTGTTGCAGTACCTGAAGAAATTGGTCCTGACCTGGACACAGACCCATGACAGACTGCGTGTCTGGGCACACGCTATCCGAAGCGCGCTGCTGTACGCCCGCCCTGGCCTAACCCGCAGCACAGGGTCGTCACGGGCTCGTGTCAGCCTGCTGTGCCGTCACCCACAATGCTAACTCACTGCACCCACTGCTAACGAGGAAACCTTCTGTGCTTGCTTTAAATGTCACAGCCTGTGACACGTCCAACCCTTGGGTCTGAGCCAGATGCTAGCAAGATGCCTGTTCTGAAGGAGGCGGTGTGGGAGGCCCGGAGCCCGCTGGGTGGATCCCTTGTCCCTCCAGTGTCCCAAGGGGCCCGGTTGGAACACACTGGGGACACCCTGGGGACGGTGGTGATAGAATGGCTCTGAGAAGGGCAGGAAGGAGTTGTGGGGCAGAGGCGGCCGCCAGGCTGCGACCCTTACCGCGCAATCTTGTCGCTGCAGGACATGGTGAGCAGCCTCTCCCCCTGTAGCACGCCGTCCCACGTCTGGATGCTGGCGTTGGAGCGCACCGGGATGGTCCCCTCCCCAGACTCTATCTTCGTGCGTAGCTGTCCCCTGGCTTTGCGATTCGGATGTCTGTCTGCTGGTTCTAAGACAGAAACAGGGCATTCAGAACCAACAGGGACCAAACCATCTACTTAGTTTCAATAACTGGAAACGCTTATCTAACAATACCCTATAAATGTATAGTGTACTTACATAATCGTACGCACATTTGCGCTACATACGTACACACATACAGGTACACAAAACCATGAATTTACAAAACGGAGCAGAAAGGACTCAAATTGAACAAAATTCACGAGTGTGCCCTTCTCGAGGGCTGGGGAGGGGGAGCCACTGTGACTGAAGGACTCTCCCTATCACTAACGTGCAGGACGCGGTACATGGGACAGACGCTAAGATCTCCAGCTCTGGTAATGAATACTGAGGTGTTGGTGATATTCTACTTCAAAAATAAAAGTAGACTGGTGCAGAATAAATCCACAGGAAGTGCAAAGCATCCATGGCAATTAGTCCCAGGTTACATGATATGGGTGGTTTTAATTTTTTTTCTTATATTTTAAAAACTTTGTATACTGCTTTTATAATCCAGGAAAATAATGTAAGCAAATTCTCTATTTGAATAAATAATGCTTCAGCGGGGAAGCAGGGGTGTGGGCACCACCTCGCAGAGGTAGGATGGGTATGAGCCACAGCGTCTGGCTTTGCTCAGTGCCTGCCGCCCAGGTAAGCGGCTCCACCTCCACCTCGCCCTTGGTTCCAATGCAGCAGAAGCGTGTGCGACACCACCGCCTGCTCAGGGAGAAACCAAGCGTGCACACAGCTGAACTAAAACCTTCACACTCACTACAGGTTAGGCAGCACTGGCATTTTTCTCTTTCCTTCTTTCAGAACCAGGAATTTTAATGCATTAAGTTTTCTAAGGAAATGATTAATTCGGAAGTAAGTCCTATTAGACCCACATTCAAGGCTGAAATTGAAGAAGACAAAAAGCAGAAAGGGTATCACCTCGGGCAGGCGCCCCTCCCTCCCTTCGCGCCCCAAGGGCAGTCTTCCTGCAGATGCACCTGTACCTTCCAGCACCGGTTCGTGCGGGGAGAAGATCCTGGCGTCGCCGCAGGGCGAGGTGCTAATGTACAGGTGGAACTGCACGGTGTCCTTCAGCCGGAACCCACCTCGCTCCGACCTCTGAAAGATGGATCTCTTCTGGTCCTCTTTGCTACTGCAAGGGAAGGTTGGACAGGTGACTCCACGCTGTGGACACTTAGGACGTCACGCTCAGAGTGACTTTCAGAGCCCAGGATTTTCAGCAGGCAGAGGGAAGCCAGGCCTGGCACTGTCACGTTTATGGTAACCAACAGTCCCACTTGGCAACGACATGTCATCAAACCGGGAGTGGCTGCTCCTCCCCAGGGAGACTGAGAGCCAGAACACAGGAGTGAGGAGTGGTACTGCACAGACAACACATGCGGTGGCGTATGCCCGCAATCCAGCTCCTCAAGAGGCTGAGGCACGGGGAGAGCAAGTTCAAGGCCAGCCTGGGCAAGCCCCCCTCTCAAAATAAAAGGGCTGAGGTTGTGGCCTAGAGCAAGGCCCTGGGCTCAATCTAGGGCTGCCACAAAGGGGGCAACGGTGAGAACAGGATTAGCTCTGCCCATTCCACGGTCAGTTCAAGAAGCTCTATGTGGGTCCGCACTGCACAGAACAAAACCGCTCGGCCCTAGAGCAGACCTGGAACCTACGGCCACGTGACAGTCACACTGGTGCCTCCATGTGTGTGTGTTTATACCCGCACACCATGCAGGACAGGGCCCTCCCTGGGGTTGTGACACAGTCACTAGCTCGGGGCCACTACGTGCTGACACACGAGGAAGGCTCTTGTGCTTCCTGACCGACGCCGCGCTGCTCGCTGCCCTGCACTCACGTCAGGTAGAGCTCCAGCTGGGTGTAGAGGAACCGCAGCAGGGACCTCCGGGAGATGATCTCCGCGTGGCAGTCGTTCAGCGCCAGCCCACGGTCGCTCATGTACTCGCCGTTGATGCACTTCGTCCCTGTCGAAACGCTGATCACCTTGGCGTCTTTGACATCCGTGCCTGCAAGACAAAAGAACACGAGTGACTCACACAGCAGCGCTGCCTGTCTGCCTGGGCTGTCGGCACCGCGATGCTCAGGGCTCCGCAGAGCATGGAGCTCGTCCTCACAGCGCCTGGATGCCACTTGCAAACCCGCGCCTGCAGCGCCTCCTCTGGGGACCTGCAGTGCCCCCGGGATGCCATGTCCTCCATCTGCAGGGCAGAGGCTAACAGTTTTCCTGACTGTTCACCCCAGCAGCACACACGGGCACTTGGTGGAGGTGCGCTCTCTGCCAGGCATGGTGGTGCGCATCTGCATACCAAGGCCACGTCCAAGCCGAGGAACTCAGCAAGACACTGTCCCAAGGCACAAATACAAAAGGCTGGGGTTGGGTCAGAGCCAGAGCACTTGCCGGGCACACGCACAGCCGTGGGTTCCAGACACAGCACCACACGCAGACCTAACTGCCCGGTGATTAATCTTTGTTTTTTGTTTTTTTTTGTTTTTTCTCCGGTACCGGGAACCGAACTCACGACTTTGCGCTTGCCAGGCAGGCGCTTTGCCGCTGAGCTAAATCCCCAGCCCCCCGGTGATTAATCTTAAAGCCAAATATCCAGGCACTAAAGAGGCCAGAGGAATGGCCCCAGGCTCTGAGAGAAACGGAAGAAAAAGGGTCTTCACTGATGGCCTGTCACATTCACAGTGTGACCTCCACAGGGACCCTGGTGTCAACCTGGAGACAGACCACCGGCCTGGGGTGCCAACACCTGCCGGTGTACGCAGGGATGGCGCCAGCCTAGAGTGCACGAGGACCTGGGTTCCAGCTCCAGTGCCGTGAGAGCAAGGAGACCTGGAAGCAGCCTGAAGCGGCCGCACTCACCAGCAGAGGGTGGTGGGAGTGCAGCGCCATGCCACAAGCCCCTTGCAGGCTGCTGGCAACCTCCCTCCCTGGACCCCGCCTCAGCCCGGAGGCGCCCGTGCAGTCTTCACCCTGCGACAAGTCCGGCCGAGCCCTGTCCCAGGGACAGTACAGCGCACACCCCGCCAGGCCGCACACACGCCAGGCTTAGGCTTTGAGCACACAGTCACGGAGACATGAGAGGCTCCTGCAGGTTACTGGCCTCTTTGGCAGTGGCTGAGTGACCAGACCGAAGGGGACATGGCTGCCCCTCGCTCCTCCATATGGGCCCTGGGCCTGGCAAGGAAGCTGCTTCTGGGGCAGTTGAGGGGGTTGGCTGTTAGCAGAATGGAAATGTGCCAAAGACCCGGTAAGAGAGGCCAGGTGCTGGACACGGGGGCCTAGCCAGGGCCCAGGGATTGGCACAGACCCGCTGCCCACCACACAGCTCTTGTGTCTCCCAGCCAAGGACGTCAGCCCTGCCACCTCCCTGTGCCCGACAGAGAGATGGCATCGGGGGGAGGGCAACATGATCACCGAAATTTCTCCCTGGCCTCCAGCGCCCTGGCTCTGTGCCATGACCAGCTGTCCAGGAGGCTGCGTGGGCAGGCCCTGGGAGCTCAGAGCCCTGCAGGGGTCCTGGCGCAGGCTCTGCCCAAGGGGCAACACCTACACTCACACGCTCATACCTGGACACCCCTGCACTCGCACACACCTGCACCCGCACACACCCACACCTGGACACCTGGACACACCCACACACAGATACACCCGCACTCACACATACCAACACCCACACACTCCCATACCTGGACACACCCTCACTCGCACCACACACCCACACTCGCACACACCCACAGCTAGACACTTGCACACATCCATACTCAGACACACCCTCACTCACACACACCCACACTCGCACACACCCACAGCTAGACACTTGCACACATCCATACTCAGACACACCCTCACTCACACACACCCACACTCGCACACACCCACAGCTAGACACTTGCACACATCCATACTCAGACACACCCTCACTCACACACACCCACACTCGCACACACCCACAGCTAGACACTTGCACACATCCATACTCAGACACACCCTCACTCACACACACCCACACTCGCACACACCCACAGCTAGACACTTGCACACATCCATACTCAGACACACCCTCACTCACACACACCCACACTCGCACATGGACACACCCACACCCGGACACCCCCTCCCATCGCATTCTGGCCTCTGCAGGCTGGGGGGGCTGCCCCCGACAACCTGATGTAAGCAGGGTCCAACCGGCCCACACGGTTACCTGTGGTCATGACGACTCCGGCCAGCACTTTCCTGCGTGCGTGTGGTGAGGAGAAGTTATCTGTCAAGTCGCTGAACTGACCCAGGACTAGGCGTGAGACGGCATCTGCCAGTACCTGGGTGAGAAGCAGAGACAGCACTAGGCCGTGTACACCAGGCAGAGCCCGGACACACGCTGTGTCTCCATGGGGCCCTCACAGGCTGCCCCCACTTCAGAGCCACGCTGCTGAGACTGACGAACCAGAGTGTGCGCATGCGTGCATGTCTGTGTGTACACATGCACTTCCTCCGAAACACCACACGGGAACACAGACACCCCAGATCACCTGAGGCTCTGGATGCCGGTCCTGGGCACGGACTCGGGGGCTGACACACACGGAGAGTGAGGCCCACCACAACCTGCCTCACACGGGGAAACCGAGGCATGGAGGGGCACCAGCTCATGCCCGATGCCACCCTGCCAGGCTCCCCTGCGCCACGTACCCTGGGGCCTTCCGAGCACAGATCCCCCCTCGACCGCTTGGGCCAGGATCACCAAGGTGGGGGGCCTAAAGACCAGTGGCCTTGGCCGGTGCCTCACCCTCCAGATGCAGGTGCGCTCTGCACACGCACCTGACCTGCCCAGCTTGGCCCAGAGTCAGGGCACAGGGAGGCTGTATCTCCCACCAGGAGGGGTGGCGAGCATGCCCCTCCGATGGGGCCACAGGACGAGCTTGTTGGAGCCTACCTCTGTTGAAGTCTGGGGGGGCCCTCCGCGGTCCAGGTTTTGGGGAAGGGCCACTGCTAGGGGGGTGAACAGCAGAGCTCGGTCTTTCCACCCAATAACCTCTCCCTCATCAGACAGTCAAACGGCCACCAGCAACCCAAATGTCCCCAGCTGGCCACCAGCAAAACACTTCCAGTGGGGACAGACATGTCCCTCACCACAAGGACACCTTACTTGGGGACAAGGCCTGTGTGGATGTCCCTCCACCCTGACCTGCAGCCACCTCTGGGTGTCAGAGTGTCACAGCAGGAGAGGTGGTGGCCAGGGTCCTCGAACGCTCAGGGGACCTGGGTGACACAGGTGTGAGCACAGGCAAGGCGGCAGGAGCAGACGGGACGGGGTGCCAGGGCTGGGCTGAAGGACAGAGCACCGAACCCACACTAAGAGAGCGCCGAGAGGGACGGAAGCCTGAGAAATAGTCCCTGTGACCTGCAGGGCAGGGGTGTCTGTCCAGAAAGGACAGCGGAGCCTCACGGGCCAGAGACTTGCAGAGCGAGCCCAGCACCTGTGCCAATGTCACCGGAGGGCAGGCTCTGCGCCCCAGGGCGGCTCCTAACCCCCGGTTCAGGAGCTGGCTCGCCTCTAACTCTTTGGTGCAGACATGGTAACAACAGCTACACGCTCTTCCCGGTCCAGCCCTGCCACAGGCCTTGTGTGACAGCACAGGAGGCCTCGGCACAGCTGGGCGGGCACAACGTGGTCTGAGTTATAACCTGCTCACGCCCACAAGTCCAGCAGGAGAGAAGGATGCTGGACCCGCATCTTCTGCAGTCCCCTGAGGGACCAGCAAGGGTCTGTATCCACCCGAGGAGCACAGCTGAAACTTCCTGTCGAAGATGGCGGAGCCCAGTGCTACGGCCACAGGGACTCCACGCAGTAAGGCCACCATCAGGTCCCCTGTCACATCTGAGTGCCCTAGGGCTGCCACACAGAGCAGAGGAGCACAGCCCTGCTGCCCCAGGGTTCTGGGACACAGAGGTGCTGAACAGAGGACAGCGACGTCAGGACAGGTTGAGGGGACCTGGGTCCCAGCAGATGCCGTCACCGCCCTCGACAGGGGCTCGGTCCTTTCCTGAGGTCAGTGGGACACATGCACCCACACACCCTTGGGGACCTCTGTCTGCTGCCCCGAGCTGCTCACCCTGCACAGCGCCACAATGACCCCAACGGTCCTGGACACCCTGTCAACGAGGGGAGGACGAGTCACAGCAGAAGGTGGGCTGCCCTGCCAACAGGAAGCCTGGGAATTAAACATCACCGGGTCTAAGCCAAAGCTCTGTGAGTGACACGTGGAAGAGTGGCTCCCAGGAACAGGGCAAGGGGTTGGCCAAGGAAGCAGTACACAGTCCGTGAAGACCCGGAAACACGCTGGATGGCTCACTGTCTATGCGTGTTGTCTGCCTGCTCCAGGCAAAACAGACCTCTTCAAAAAGTGGGAACAACTGGGCAGCTCAGGCTCCAACTGTGGAGCGTCCTGGAGCCGCGTCAAAGGCAGACGAGAAAGCCCTGGGGACCACGTGGCTTCCCGTCCGTCTTGTCTGGTTCCCCATGCTTCCTGGTCGGAGGTGTAGTACATCACCTTTATGCCACCGAGCAGCTGACAGGAAGGAACCAACACGCGAGACGGCAGAGGAACAGGTCTCACGCGGCCCCACAGAGCTTGGGTTCCAAGAACAGGAGCAGGACCCAAGCTCACTGGGCAACAGGACGCAAACCCTGAGGCTCCTCCTCGCTTCACCTAGACTTGCTGCGGGCTGGGTGTGGCAGAGCGGGAACTTCAGAGTGGCTTCCTTCGTCCAGCCAAAGCAGGGGGCCCACATGGACGCCAGGCGGGAGATTCGGGGTGCAGAGACCCCCAGGCAGCTGGCAGACTGCACAGTACCCACGCACGGGGGAACTTATTTCCTGTGGCTCCTGCTCTGCACCCCTGGGAACGCAGCCACCAGCCAGCCCTGCTGGGTGAGGCCGGTACCCCCAGCCCTGAATATTTGTGTGTGGATCAGAGCAGGAAACAGTGCTCCGGCTCCGGCGCCCTATTCCTGATAAAGGCTTCCGGCCGGTGGACCCCTGTGGACGGGCGACTCTGACTGTGACTGAGAGGTGGACGGATGGGGCCGTGGTGTCCCTACCCTGTACTGTCCGTGCCCAGCTTGCAGCAGGGGCTGCTGGGCTGCTCGTGGCCATGTGTCCGTGGAGCCCAGCTGAGGCACCCCACAGCGGGCCCAGCGCTGACCACCCCCACTAGGGGAGAGGCACGAGGGAGGAGCAGGGCAGTGTCACGGAGCGTGGCTGGGCGCAGGGACACGGGGCCTCACCTGTGGCAAGTGCAGCTGCAGGCCCTCGCTGAGCACAGGCTGGCGCGATGGTGTCTGGTCCAGGTGCAGGTTGAAGACGGTGGCCAGGGCAGACTGTGCGGCCCGGGCCTTGGCCAGCTTCTTGTTCCTGCCCGAGCCCTCGAAGAACTGGCCGTCCACCACCACGGACATGACGAAGCTCTTGGCGTGGCTCTCGCCGCTCTCAGACAGGAAGTCGTACTTGAGCCCCGGGCGCAGTTCGTTCAGGATCATCACCGGGTTCTTCCCGCTGGGCGGTGGGAAGGGAGGCGGCACGGGCAGGGGCGGCTGGGCCAGGCTGGCGGGCACCGGGGAGGCCGACAGGCTGAGGTCCCCGCTGGAGCTGAAGGAGTCGTCGCCGTTGGAGCCGACGTAGAAAGGCGGCTCCGCCTTGTCAGGCGTCTCGAAGCCGTTGAAGAGCGTGTCCGGGAAGTCAGCCTGGTCGGACGTGAAGTCCGTGTTCACCGACAGGGTCCTGCCCATGGCCAGGTGGGCCTCGGAGGCGTTGGGAAACTGCACGAAGGAGCGCAGGGCCTTCTCGGCCGCGTGCAGCTTGGCCTTCTTCTTGGTGGGGCCCGAGCCCTCAAACACCTGCCCGTTCACCTCCACGGACATGACGAAGCGCGGGGCGTGCACCGGCCCCGTCTGCGACAGCAGCGTGTACTGCAGCCCCGGCTTGATCTCGTTCAGCTGCATCAGCGCGTTCTTGGGCAGCACGGGCCCCGGCATCTTCCTCCGCTTCTTCAGGCGGTACCTCGCGTGGCCGTTGCTGCCCTCCTCCAGCAGCCGCTTCCTGCCGCCTCCGCTGCCACCCCCGTTGGGGAGCAGGGCGGCCTCGCTGGGCCCGGGGGTGCCACTGTCCCTGGGGGACACGTTGTCCAGATTGCGGTTTTCTTTAACATCGGCACTGCTGGAACCTGCGGTGCCCAGAAAGAGTAACTTACAACGCCTTCGATGCAGGATCTTGTAAATGCAAAATTTATAGATTCCTTTACCTCTTTGTGACCGCTTCAGTGGTGTGTGTGTGTGTGTGTGTGTGTGTGTGTGTGTGTGTGTGTGTGTAACTGGAGGAACTGCACAGGGGGCCAGAGAACGGTCAGCCTCAGCTTCGAGGATGCCAAATAAGGGCTAACGCCTCTTCTATTCCTTCACCACTGCTTCTGCATTAACAGGTACAGGTCTTAAGCCCGGCATGGTACGCACGCCTGTAACCCTAGCACTCTGGGAGGCTGAAGCAGGAGGACAGCAAGTTCCAGCCCCGCCTGGGCAACTTAGCAACTTATGAAACCTTGTCTCAAAATAAAAACAAAAATAGGACTATGGACGCACTCAGTGCAAAGGCCCTGGGTTCAGTCAATCCCTAGTACTGCAGAAAAAAAAGTAAAAATGTTCAATGATTTTTCTACTGAGAATATTCCAATCTGTCCAGAGATACAGTACTTCCCTCAGGTTTTCAAAGTGCTGGGTGCTGAGAATTCAAAAAAGAATTCACACTTCATCTGATGACATGCAGTATGGTCCATCAGTGAGCGGACAGACGGATGGACAGACACGCACCTCAGCGTGCTCCTCCTTGTCTGGGCCGCTCAAGGGCCCTGGTCCACAGTGTCCAAGGGCTTTCCCTCTATACCTCTCAGTAGAGCAGGCATGGTCCCTAACCTCTGAGGCTAAACAGGCCCTGGGGATTAGAATGTCCAGGCCATTACTTGATTTAGTTTATGAACCCACTGCAGAAAATTGCTTATTGTGTAAAGTATTGTGACTTTTTAGAAATTCTTTCTGAAGGCTACAGTTTTATTTCTGGTATTCATTTAAGGTTTTTTCATTATATATGGGGACCATTTCTATCTCAGAATCCTTACTTCATTCCATGATAAAAAATAAGAACAAAATATCAAGTCAAAGCTGTAAGCAGACTACAATTTCCTAAGTGCATAAATATATCTGACAATTTCACCTTTCTAAAAATCAACTAATTGATGCACTTCCTGAATGATTTGTTCATCCTACTTTGTTTAAAATCTGTAAACATAATTTCAGGATTCTAAAAGTGCATGGCAAAATAAACATGATTTTGATTTTAAGGGGGAAATTTTTAAAAATGTTCTCTCCTGCCTTTAATCTGCCACACTTTTTTAAAAAGAAAAAAAAATCATTCCTTCTTATAGTTTTATAGGTCGCCTGGCTTAGGACTTTGTAATGCTGTTGCTATCTAGGTCATTAAAGACCTACCAGTAGCTGTCAAAAATCCACATCTTTTAAATACTCAAAATACTCGTAAACTGTAAACAAGCACCCCAATATGAAAGCTTAGGGTCTGTTTCTACTATACAACATGGAAAAAGTTCCTCATTATGCTGAGTAAACTGAGAGCCCTGAAAATGTTTGTTGGTGTGGCTTCGGCTATCATCAATCAGTCACTGACGTTAAGCTGTCAATGTCCAGGGCTGGGGTCCTTCTGCCCAGACAGCAAAGGAGGAGCCTGATCTACACACAGCCCTGGGGAGACTGGACCGGCCAGGGGACCCCCTCGTGAGCCTGGCCTCCGGGACACCTGACACACACACCACTTCCCTCGGTTCACAAAGCGACGGAATGTTTGCTAAATTTTCATTTATAACATCCTCCAGCAAAAGGCCGGTAGGTTACTCCTTTCGGTGCTCAAGGGAACGAAGGTTTAGGAAGGTAGAGTCAAGACAAAATCAAGAGATTAGTGGAGGGAGAGAGAACATCACAAACTAGACATCACTCACAGTTCACCATTGTGGCTACACAGAAGTATCAGCACAGAGAATCAAATCATAATTCTGACATGCATTTGATCACATGTTTATAACCTCTGAAACAACCAATTCTTTCTTTTCAGACATAACGATAACCAGCATAGAGACTGACAAACAGTCTTGCGATAGAAGCGAAATACACTGCGACACAGTACAATCCTCAACTCTCATGTACTTCAAAAGGGCCACTCACGTTCTGTTAAAGATGCTATTAAGTAAAGGAAAAGGAAATGCTAAAGTTAGAGGAGGAGGCCCTGCTCTCACAGCTCTTCTGACACAGAGGGTTTCTCTCCGCACATCATAGCACATTTCAGAAAGGTGAATGTTAACCACGATAAAACTTTTAGTTGCTCTCAAAATCAGAGAAAACACAGGCCTGGCATTTCAGTTTTGGCACAGCACCAAGCAGCTCATCTTTCCAGAGAATTCCTCAGGAGGGCCTTCGGGGGTTAAGTCACCAGGCCCCGGGGTGGGGGCACGGTCCACAGTCCCCAGGTGGCTCTGAGGACCTGGGGGGATGGCCCTGGCACAGCACAGGCCCCACTCTCTAAAACGGGAGTGAGTTCACTCTCCATCTTAAAAGTGGCAGCAAAACTGGAAATGGCAGGTGGAATGCCCAGCAGACACCCCGGCCGGGTCTGCAAAGTATCTCCAGAGCAGGGTGATGAGGACAGCACCCGTGAACACCGCTGCCATCTCAGGCGGTTCACACGTTGGCAGGGCCGCGTGTACCGGGCCAGCGCAGCCCACGCCACCCGAGGCCAAGGTCAGTGGTGGGAACTGACCGCAGCCCACAGGAAGGTCCGCAGTGACCACAGCGAGCCAGGGCACTGTCTGCACACGCCGCGGGCTGGCAGCACTCTGGGGCGGTCGGGAGCGGGCCTGCGTCCGAGGCCTCACTGTGCCTGTGTCCTAGAGAGTGCTGCGCTGACTGCGTGAGGTTCTGATGTTGGGACCACGCCCAGTCAGTGGGGCTTGGGCGGCAGCCACACGTTCTTGCTCAAGACAGGCAGTGTCCACATGCCGGCAAGAAGACGCCGTCGCCCAGGCAGCCCCCTCCGGTGGGCGTCCCCCTTCCGTGCAGCAGCTGAGCTTCCTTGGGTCCCCGCTGCCCTCTGGCACTGAGGGCAAAGCAGAAGTGAGAGGTGCAGTCGCTGAACTTTCTGGAGAGAGCAACACCGCAAGCCCGGTGCAGCCTGAGGCCTCCATCCCACAGCCCCAGGCAGGCAGAGTGGACCGCAGGGCTGGGGGTTGGTCCACGCCAGGCCCAGCTCTCACAGGGCCTCCAGAGACCAAGGATGTGGGAGACTTCTTCTCCAAATTCAGGGCCGGCATCTCAGGGAGCCGCGCACTGACGCGCAAGGACAGGTGTCTGAGTCCATCTCAGAGGCCGTCCTCGACTCAGCACAAGGACCAGGCTGCCACACGACATCACGTGAAACCACGCAGAGCCTCGGGATGTGCACCTAGAGGACGTTTCCACAACAAAAAGATGGCCCATGGCGACGAGGAATGGGAAATCTACACAGGTGCTGCAGGGAAAACGTCCACGGTAAATGCTGATACCTGCCGTACGGAATCTACAAAAATACACCACTGCCAACAGCCCAGAGCAAAGGCAACATCCGGTTCCCCAATTCACCTGCTAACCAAGCTTACAAAACGCTAAACCGTGAATAGGAAATGAGCTATGCGGGCTATGCGGGAGCCTAGGTCTTACTCATGCTCTCTTCGTCTTCCGCATCCATGGCAGAGCACTTGTGGGGGTTTCTGGACTGGTGGAGACGGCTCCTGTCTGAGAGAAGAAAGCAAGAGTTACTGAAACGAGGCGAGGCTGCCGTGGAGTGGTCACGATGTCCCTGCAAACTAAGGAAAAACACCGTGAAACAAAAGCGACTCGTGGCTTGGGTTATAAAGGGAAGCTACGTATCAAGAACTGGTGCCTCTGCGATTCAGCTTACACCTCTCTGCATCCAAAGAGCCCCTCACAGGAGAGGCTAAACACACGCCACTGATAAAACCCGGCCCTACTTTCTCACCATGCACAACTTACCACCAGCTGGTAGGGGAACCACGGGACTCTGCAAAGACCAGTGATCCCAATGACCTAATTATAAGAAACCTAAGGGTTTCCTCTTCCTGAACATTCCTGATACACTTCACAAGATGCTGCTAACAATCTATGAGAAAGAAACCCAGCGAGCTGCAAATGAGGAAAAGCATTTGCAAACTTGCAAACCACACACTGCTTCACATACACACAAACTGATTATAAATGTTGAAAAAGCTCATTGCTTTTAGGGAAACGGTGATTCAATGCGCTAAGACAAGCACAGGTCTCCTCTATTTCATATACCACATACGTAAAATATGTAGTCCTCAGGACAATCATTTGTTAGTTACTAATCTGACTGGACTTCTAGCCAGCGCACTGCTAAAAGTTAAGTAAGTTTCCATGTGGAACGCTTTCTTTGGGAAAGTGTCCCAGACAGTGTTAAAAGCATTGCTGTTTTATGTTTATTAACTACTCCGCATGTTTTCCGAGAGCCTGTTATGAGCCAAGATGGACACCAAAGGAACCTAGAACCAATGTGAAGCAGCATCTGAGGAATCCCAGGGTAAATGCTGCTGGACAGCGCTCACACAGGCCGAGTTCAGAGCAGCGTCATCCCCACCAGCACCGCCCGCACCACACAGGTCCCGATGAACCCCACCACTCGGCAGGAGCAGCCTCCCTCTGCCCGCACCGGGCCCGGAGGAGGCAGTGAGCACACCTGCAGGGCGAGGGCCAGAAAGTGAGCTGAGGAAGAGGCGGGGCTCCCCCTCGAGGCTCGGGGTGTGATACACGGAGGTTCCAAGAAAACACCAGTCGTGCCAAGCACCAGGGCACGCCCAGAGGGTAGAGGGAACACCAGCACAGGCAGCACACGGCGACAGCAATGCCGAGTGACCTAGGGAGCGAGGTCCAGCGGGCACCGCTCTGGGCAGAGTCACCATCAGTGCAGTGTGTGACTGGTGAGAGATGACAAGCAGGGCACCCAGCAGCGACCCACACGGCCATGCCCTGCTCCCCGACGAAGCAGGGACAGCCCTGCAGTGACGGCACGGGGGCCGAAAGGGGCCCCTCCCACGGCCATGTAACGCATCCGAAATCTCTGCAAATAGGTCTTCAGTGCAAAACACAGAAGTACACAACTTGTAGACAAACCTTAGGAGAAAAATCCTCAAGATCTAGGGCCAGGGAAAGTTCTTAGACTCAACAGAAAAAGTATAATCCACAAAAGAAAAACTGAAAATTGGACTTCATCAAAAATAAAAACTCTTGGGGCTGGGGATTTAGCTCAGCGGCAAAGCGCCTGCCTGGCAGGTGAAAGGTCGTGAGTTCGGTTCCCGGTACCGGAGAAAAACCAAAACAAACAAACAAACAAAAAAATAAATAAAAAATAAAAACTCTTGCTCTACAAAGGACCCTGTTAAAAAGATGCAGACTGGGTCTCATGTGAGACCCAGGTAACAGTTGGCAAGGGGCTCCAGTCCAATGCCCCCCAATCCCTGGAGAGAGTGCTTGGCCAGAGGCCATCCTGGGGAAGCTGACTGCTGGAGCCCAGGACTCAGAGCAGCTGCAGGGCAGCTTCGGTCCAGGGCTCCCAGTGCTACGTGCCCGTGGTGACTGCCTGGTACCGCATCCGGCATGGATCCGGGGTTGACTGCCTTCTTTATCTACCAGCGTGAGCAGGAACATGTCCTGCTTTGGACATTGCCCAAAATTGTACATGTCAGAAAAAATCCACACATTCTAAATCACAGATGCCGGGCATGGTGGCACACGTCTGTAATCCCAGCACTCGGGAGGCTGAGGCAGGAGGATGGCTTCAAGTTTAAGACCAGCCTGGGCTACAAGGTGAGCTCAAGGCCACCCTGAACTACATAGCAAGACCTTGGCTCAAAAAAAAAAAAAAACATAGAGAAATTATTTTCTTCTTTGTGTCTGTATTGTTTTCGTTTTCTTCTTTCCTTTCCTTTTTTTTTTTTTTTTTTTTTTTTTTTTTTTTTTTTTTTTTTTTTGGTCTTTTTGAGACAGGGTCTTGCTATGCAGTTCAGGCTGAGCTCACTTTGTAGCCTAGGCTGGTCTCAAGCTCACAATGATCCTCCTGCCTCAGCCTCCCGAGTGCTGGGATTACAGGCATGCACCACCATGCCCAGCTTCCTTTCCTTCTCTTCTTTACTAGTTTTCTGTGATTTAGGGAATTTTCCTTTGTCCTTTTTCCCTGCTTTTTATCTCTTTTTCTTACTTATTCTTCCTCTTCTCCCTTTTAATTTTTCTCTTATTTTATTCCCCATATAATTTCGTTTATTCTCCCTTTTTCTTGTATCTTCCATTTCTCCCAAGTTTTTTCGGTTACTTTTACGTAATTCTATAAACAGCCTCCCACTCCCCAGCAAGACCTGAGAGCTTCTCTCCCCCTCACATCACAGTCAAGGTTCCTCATTTTTCCTCTTGCATTCCAACCCCCTAGATCTTTAATAGACTAAGCATAAAGCTTTATTAATCTTTAGGTAGCTCACTCTACAAAGTTACTGTTGATTTTTTTTCTACCATTAGCAGAAATAAAGCTGCACATTTAGTACATATTAGCCATACGTCAATACCTGAGTTGTCTTAATGTTTAGAAAATTTCTTCTCTAGAGGTAAGGGTGGTACGTGATTGGTTCTTATGGCATGTTAATATCCAGTTTACTTTGGATGACATGACTACAGCTGACCTGCCTGATATTACCAGGGTGACACAAATGTCACTTTAATGGGCCTTCTCTGTAAACCAACGCTCAGATTATCTTTGTGACATTAACAATACTAGAACCCCAAATTAACAGAGGTGGCTGGATTTTGGGGACAGACAAAGAACTAAAACTAGCCATGCCCAAAGTGCATAACTGAGACGTGACTGACTAAAGAGAACTTTATACTAGCAACCAAGTCTTTACGTTATAAGTGGCACAAACTTCACCACAAAACAACAGAAAAAAATGAGAAGACAGGCAACAAAGCGCCTCCTACAACTCCCAACTCCCCTGAAGCAAATGCGGGGGACCAAGGAGAAGAGCACAAACCACACTCCTGAGTCACTCGAAAGCATAACAGAGCAGGTCAGGACACAGATCAAGGAGGCACCTGGGAATCACAGAAGATATAATCAAACTGATAATGGAAGTGATAACCAAAATGATCAGGGAACTTTCAGAAGACACTCATAAAAAGCTAGATGAGCTGAACAAAACTATAGAAAACCTGGACGACCAGGCTGGCAAAGAATTAAGAGTCCATGGAAAGATTTCATCAGAAACCCAGGAGATTATTAATTATACACAAAGTGTGGGCAGCAGAAGCGGCCAGTGTGCAGCCAGAATTCCAGAACCAGAGGTTACTGATGTCTTATTAGACCAGCTACTCAAAGACACCTTTACGGCAACAAGCGAACATGAAAAATGGACCCAATAGCTACTGGATGAGGCAAAGAAGGCTAATCTAACAGTAACTGGGTTAAGTGCAAAATCAGAGGACAACACAAATGGCATAAAAAAGCCTGTTTGCAGGAAAAATGGTAGAAAATACCCCAAATATAGGGAGAGAAATGAACATACAGATAAATGAGGCATCTAGAACCCCAGACAGCCATGACCAGGAGAAAACCTCTCTGTACCACATCACACTCACAGTACTAGAGTGCATCACAGAGGCAAAGTCTTACAAGCTCAGAGAAAGGCAACAAACCACACATAGAGTTAAACCCACCAGAATCACAGCAGGCTTCTTTATAGAAACCTTGGAGGCCAGGAGGGCTTGGAGTGAAGTGCTACAAACCCTGAAAGGTTACAAACTCCTACCACTACGTATGTATTCTGCAAAATTTGATGGAGAAATAAGGTACTTCCATGACAAGGAGCACCTCAAGAAATTCATGACCATCACCAACACCACAAAAAATTCTCAAGGATATCCTAAAAACAGACAATAAAGCCAACAATGCCAGTAACTCAAAAAGAATCACTACACCTAGTAGGATGGGCAGCTAAGCAAAAGGGAAAAGAAAAAAAGAAAATCAGTAACAAAAAAGCAATGCAATGACAGCAATAACTCAGCACCTCTTAGTAATAACTCAATGTGAATGTCCCAATTCCCCAATCAGAGACACAGACTGGCAGAATGGATCATGAGACAAAACACAACATTTGGTATACAAGAAACACATGTAATTCGAAAAGAAATCCACAGATTAAAAATCGAAGGATGGAAAACAACATTCAATGCAACAGGGACCCAGAGAACAGCAGGAGTAGCTATCCTAATTTCAGACAAAGTGGATTTAAGCCAAGACTGATCAAAGTAGACAAAAAGGTCACATCAATTCAATAGGAAGAGATAACAATTATAAATATACATACAGCAAACACTGACATGCCCAACTTCATAAAACTAACAGACATGAAAAATGAGATAAACACCAATACAACTGCAATAAGGGACCTCAATACCTCACTGTCACAAATGGATCAACTAGACAAAAACTCAACAAAGAAATATCAGAGTTGAACCAAACCTTCAAGCAAACAGAGTTAACATATATCTAGAGTGTTCCAACACTGTATACCTTCTCCTCAGTAGCACATGAGGTTATAAAATAGACCATACCTAGCCCATAAAGCATGCTTATGTAAATGGAAAAGTGAAAGTACCCCACGGCTACCAGATCATAGTGCAATGAAATTAGAAATCAATGGCAAAAGAAAGCAGTG